CTCTCTCTCTCTCCCCCCGCCCTTCCTCCTCCCCCTTCCCGCATGAAGGGACGCTGCCCTGCCCGTCGCGTCGCTTCAGCCCCGATTGGCCGCTGGCCGTAATCACTCCCGCACGGAGCCTCTTCACCAGGTGTTCCACCGGTTCCCGCTTGGGCGCAAAGCGTTACCGGTCCCGCGCGAATCCGCCCCGTTTCGCCCCGAGTTCCATTGCTTCCCTTTTGGCCGCTGCCCGTTACCGCTCCGGCGCGGTGTTGAGCCCCACGCGAGGACCACTGTTTCCTTTAGTAGTATAGGTAAATTACACCGGATGCCTTCCAGTCAGCACTGGTTTGGCATGAGAAATTGTTGATAAGTTTGTGATCGATTGGATGATTGATGGCTTGTAGAGATGGATGCTGGCGTGGTGCATATTCCCCTTTCTTTTTCCTTTTCTGGATGCTCGCTACTGTCATTCGCATGAAGATATATGCACATGCCTCCAGTGTCTATGTAACAGAGGCATTGTCGTGGTGTTTTTTTTGGGGGGGGAGAAGAGAGAGAGAGAGAGAGAGAGAGAGAGAGAGTGGGCGTGAATGTGAAGATCAAGAGAGCCAGTGTCTATGTAAAAGAGGCATTCTGGTGGTGGTTTTTTTTTTTTTGGGGGGGGGGGAAGATCAAGAGAGCAAAATGAGGGAAAAAGAGAATCAAGAAGTCCACCACCTGTTGTCACAGTACCTCCATGTTCACGGAGGACGTCAGTACCTTGAGGATCGAGGTTCCACCACAGGTGGGAACTGCACATGCCTCCAGTGTCTGTGTATCAGAGGCCTCTGCATAAGCCTGTTAAGCATACATCCATGTTACTGAGACCTCTTCACCTTGACAGGTGTGTTCAAAACAACTGTCTCTGTCAGTCTCGTTTATTCCAAATCTCAGATAGGGACACTCTGAAAGATCCAAGTGAAACTGCGCATTCTTGGAATGCGCGTGCACGCAGAGTTCAGTTCCCCAGTCAGGTGCATAGGGGATCTGGGGGGGGAGGGAGGATGCTGGCACTCAATGGCCCCGAAAGAGCAAAAAAAAGTGTGAGGAGAAAAGGAAAAGAGGAACAAAAAAAAAAAAAAAAAAAAAAAAAAAAAAAAAAAAGGGGAAAAAAAAAAAAAAACAGGGAGGGGGGGGGGAAAAAAGAAACCGGGAGGGGGGAAGGGGGGGGGGGGGGGGGGGGGGGGGGGGGGGGGG